CCCCCCCCCCCCGCTGGCTTCAAACAGACACGTCGTCATCAACAGCTTCAAGGAATCCACTGTAGTAGCTCTCAGTGTGCACTAGTGTGAGAAGCATCCTCGTCATTATAGTGTGCTCTCATTATTCAAGAGCATGAAGTGCCTGCAAATCCTTTTAAATATGCTGCTCCGCTTCCCTTTTTGAGAAGAAAAAAAGAGCAGTGATCGAATACTTGCCTGGAGTTAATTTGTTCAACAATGGAGTGATTAGAGCACTGGAACACAGTCATTGACTTTAGCAAAGTAAAGCGATTGCGAGATAAAGAGTATTTATTAAAGAACAAATCAAAAGTAGAATATAATGTTTTACTTTTAAGGATAATTTATATTATTACAATGGAGTCGCTTGTCTTATTTTCTGTCTCTACAGATGGTAATGTCAGTCCATTCACCACAGAGTGCAATATTTAAATAGCATTACAGACAGCCAAAGGTGCCAGAGAAAGAGTCCTAAGCACTTTGGTGTTTTGAGTTCCCAGTTTTTTCTATTTGATTAGATGGATTGCAATGAAATGTTCCATCAGGTCAGATGTTCTTACTGCTATGTCCTACTTTGATGATCAAATACCTGCAAAACTTATAAAATCCCCATCAACATTGAGTGGTGATTAAATGACAGCATGGTATTGTGCTAAGCTAAGTTGATAATCTTTAAACCTGTAAACATCTAAACCTGTAACATCTGCTTGCTAACATTAGCATTTTGCCCCAAACATTGATAATGTGGGCCTGGACTCTTATTCTTGCTAGTTTAATAGTGATTTACAAAGCATATTACTGTTGGAAGTCTTGTTTTGTGTGGTTTTACATGTAAGCTCTCCATAAATCTTAATTTAATGGTGGATTGCAACCTTTCAAGAAGGATTTCTGGAAACATTGACCTTTTAACATGTAAACAAAACACCCCACAGGCTTTGTTTTGAGATCCGGCTGACATTTTTGACGGAGATCTCAGCATACTTATAAAGGGTAAAATGGAAATTGGTTAATGTGAAGTCTAGATGAAGGATTATAATGTGTAGTTTAAATCCTGCAGTGTGTTGACAATCAATGTAAAGGTAAAGCTTTGTTCTCCTGTCTGCCGATTTGTGTTAACAGAAAGCTTTTGGAGGGATCTCCCAGCGACTGGACCTCCGTGCGCGGCTGCAGTGCAAGAGCTTCTCGTGGTATTTGAAGAACGTTTATCCAGAAGTCTTCATGCCTGATCTCAACCCACTCCGCTTTGGCTCAGTAAGATAACACACCTCACCACCAGCTCGACTCTTTCCAAACCTCAGAGCTCTGTCTAGCCGCTGTGGGTTTCCACTTGGGATCTCCAGAGGGTCCTGAGCAGTTCCAATTTGACACCACTGAAAGCACTCCAGTGGCTGAAGTTGTTTGAACAGCTTGCACTGGATGTTAGTTTTTCATTTTGTTTCCTCTCACTGCTCTCCTACCCCCTCTTCTCTTTCTCTGTAGGTGAAAAATGTCGGCAAGGACTCCTGTCTGGATGTTGGAGAGAACAATGAGGGTGGGAAACAGCTGATCATGTACCCGTGTCACGGACTAGGAGGAAACCAGGTCAGTGAGAGAACATACATTTTGATCTCTGATTGAGAAAAATATAATTCACTTAAAGAAAAAAAAAAATCTTGTTTCCTTTGCTGTAGTATTTTGAGTTCTCCACACGTCATGAGATTAGGCACAACATTCAAAAGGAGCTGTGTTTGCACGGGGCCGAGGGGACTGTGAAGCTGGAGGACTGCCAGTACAAAGGCGGAAAAACATTATTGGGAGCAGAGCAAAAATGGGAACTAAAGGATGTGAGTTTTGCACTTTCTCTGCACTGATTTGTGATGTCAAACACCTGGGTTATCTTTTTTAGGAGAATAATCATTAATCGTCTCTTTGTGTAGAACCAGTTATTCTACATGCCAGGAGGGAGCATGTGTCTGAGTGCCCGTCACGAGCATCCCTCTCTGGCCCTCTGCAACCCATCGGACAGATACCAGCTCTGGACCTTCGTCTGAGTGAACTACCACTTTCGAATTATCCCTGGATTCATAGACGTACTAGGACATGAGTATACTATACTGTATGCGGTTAACATGCAGTTTTTATTAGATTAATGGCAATGAGTTTAATTTATTTTTATACATAGAAGAACTGAACTGCTGCAGCTGGGAGGTTTGAACTTTGGCAGAAACCACTGTGTGCCACTGCTGGAAAGAAGCATTGAAATGCTTCCAATCAGACTGTGAACGGAGATGCTTGAAAGAAGGAAGATGTGCTGTGCTGACAAGTGCCTTCTTTGGGTTTAGGATGTATTCACTACTCCAAGTCTTTGTAACGAACACATGCATTATGAGGTATTTAAGGCCAACGAGTTAGGGTTAGGGTTAGCAACATGAATCTAAAAAGTATCTTTACAAAAATACAGTAAATGATGTGTATTATAAACGAGGAGTTCAAGTTGGACAAACAAAAATCCCATCATGTTTTGCACCAAAGAGATTGGAAGCAAAAACCTGAGAATCACAAAAGTGCATTGTTGCCTTTTTAACTTGCAAAACCTCTTATTTGCGACCATCCAGTGCCTTAAATGTAACTCTATACTGTGAGTGGAGGGGTGGAGGGATGGAGGGATGGGTGGTGGTGTGGGGACAGGGGCTGTTGTGCAGAATGATGTTTTGGGGGTTATAAGAACAGAAACTTTTGCCAGATGAAGATTTTATAGTTTCTCTACACTTAGTTTCACTCAAATTACGCTAAAACAAATACAACTTGTAATGAATCCTCCCTTCACTAAGTTTATAAAAGGGTCCTAGTAAATCTTAATTGGAGACCGGATTCATTTTAGCTAAGTGTACCTGGAAAAACTGGCATCCATGTGTAGAGACATAAAGAATGAAGAACGATCACGTGAATGGACCTTTTTAAGAAAAAGTCAGCTGACCCTTGAACATGAATATTGTGTTAATTTGCCCCATAACTAAAGTGAAATTGACGTCATTATTGGTGATTGAAGTCTATTTCTGTTTGACCTGCATCAATGCTTTATTAACTATATGCTAATGAAGAAGAATAATATCCCCCTATTTAATTGTGGCTGGTTTACCTGTATTCTTTAAAAAAACATACTTTGGTGTTACAAAAAAATGATTTTCATGTGAAAGGAATACACCAAAGGATTTCCGTTGGTTGATGAAATGTCTGAAACTCTCCCTCTTCATCTACATTTGAGTCCAATAATGAATTTCTGGTGCAGGCACTAGTGTTTAGATGGCTTTGGAATATTGTAAATAACTATTAGAGACTGAGTGAAAAACAGATTGAATGTGTGTGTTTCCCTTGTATGGAAACAGTCTATTGTTTGCCCTGGTATTAAGTGCTCTTATTTTTAGGTCAATAAATTCATTTGGTTAGAACTAAGAGCCACTTTGTTTTATTCCCACTGTGATCTGCAGAGGGCGCTTTGCACTAAGAAATCACTGAGCTGTACAACGTTGGCTATCAATTTTAATTTCAAATCCATGAAACAACTGAAAAGGAAATTGACTATCTACAGTTTGAAAACCAAACACATTGAAAAAAACTGTACCATTTTGTGCAAAATGTTTGCATTTCACAGAATAAGAAATATACTCAAATAAATCAGGCACATGAAGCTTTACAACTCACAACCAGCATGGAACAAAATACAGTTTTAAGATAGTGAAGCAATTTACTCAATACAGACTTTTAGTAAACCACAATAAATACACATTTCAATATATATGATTCATAATAAATACTGGAAAATAAATGCCAACACAGGATCTCTAACCGGATGCAGTGTCATTGTAGCTAGCCTTCTCACACTGTATGCTTTGGCACAATTCATCTGTTCTGTAGGCCATGTTGATGCCACTGATTGCCAGAAAGCAGTCTGTGCACTTCTTTGTACAAACAACTTCTTTTGAAACATCAAAACCCCAGCGTTGACCCTTCTGATTATGAGTTACGGGCAGATATTTGCAAGCCTTGAGAAGACACAAATATCTGTATCCATACAGGTGCAGAGCTCAAGGTAAAGCTCTTCAACAACAGTAGTACTATTCACTTAATTATTGCAGTCCCCCTCCCCTTTGTTGAGCAGTCAATCCAATTTCCTTTTTGTCAGTGAGTCATATTGTGTAGCAGTTAATCAATGATATGAGTCATGTCTGATAATGAGCTTTGATTGTCAACCTTGAACATTTGCCTCTCCTGTATACAATTATCAAAACTGTGGCATATTCATTGTTGACCTTCTTTACCCACACTATCAAGTGCCGTGACAACCAATTAAAATACATTTCAGTCTACTTTACAGAAGATCTTCACTTATAGGGAATGCCTATTAAAAGCCCTCAAACTATTGCACTTCACTTCAATAGAGCAAATCAACATCTTAGTAATGAGACATTGGAATGTGGCTTATGTGATGTTCAAAAGCAGAAATCCAATAAGCAGTTAATTTATTAAATACTGGCACATTATCTCGGGTCAATATTTTGTCAAAGTGCTACTTTATTAATATCCCTGTATTTACTAAAAGTTTCAAAGAATACATTTTGTTCCGTGGAGGCACCTGCAATTTACGTTATTTTTAAGAGGGAACAGTGGAGAAAGAAAAGAGTTAGGGGCCATCATTTTCTAACTGCATGCGACATGACCAGTTCACATAAGTGCAAAAGACTGTTGACATTTGATGCTATTGATATTGTATTCCAAAGATAAAAATAACAGTTCAAGCTTTTTCATGCCTTTCAAAACCATAGAAAAGCGTATAATAGTGACAGAAAGAATACGAGAAATGTACATAATGAACACATTTTCATATAAAACAAAAGAGATCCCCAATCCCCTACATTTCACTGAGATCCCAGAATCAGCATGCGTATTGTTATCAAAACATTTACAATATATAAGTATACACATCATTCAGAAACAATACATAAACAGACAATAAACTTTTTTTGCACATTTGACATACAGTAGACATACAAAAGTTCCATCTACGGTACAATATCTGCTTAAAACTAGAACTTTACATCTGAAATTACAAGATACATTGCACGGCATGACATAACTGATGCTTTAAAAGGTTTTTTTATCTGTTCCATCTTGCAATTTAAGCACACGCTGTAGCGGAGAAACCTTCAGGAGCGAATAATTAAAACATTTAAATCACAACCCTATGGCTTTATACAGCAGTTACAGATGAACATGTACTGTATTACGGTGCTGTCAATCGCTTGAATTTTAAGGTCAAATAATGGCAAAAAAACACATGATTATTAAAACACCACTTGGTCAGGCAGAAGTGATCATGAAAGAACACTTTAAAAGGCGAGGCCCATTACATGGCTGTGACCTCGGGGCAATGGTCTGGTAAAGGGAGGTTCTTAGTGTTGTTTGCTAGTAAGGTCACGTCAGAATGGCCATTAACAGCTGACTCTTGCTGCGACTGATCAGCTGTCACACACAAGCTACTGTAGGAACCCTGGGTGTTATTGTTCAGGTAGTTTTCAAACTGTGTCTTGCTGTCAGGCTGCTCCACAAACGCTGCTTTGGACGACGGCTTTTTCTCCGGATCATCTGTGTAGGAGGTCAAAGGGGCAGCAGCAGCAGCAGAAACGTTGGTCAGCGTGAGATGTTGATTAGCTGTGTATTGTTCCCCAGCCTGATTAGAGAAGTCTGTGTACTGCTCGGCAGACATGTTGAGTTGTCCTTGGGCCGGGCTGCTGTTGCTAGTGCCAACTGGCTCTTGGAATGCTAAGAGTTCTCCGTACGGTTCACTGGGCCGGCTGGTTTGTCCGTTAGAGACCTCAGCGGAGCTCCCCAGCTGATAGTACTCAGCCGGAGACGAGTTCATTAGGTAATTGTTTCCATTTATGTTGTTATCATGAGTCACAGAGCCATCGCTGTAACAAAGCACTGAGGACAAGGGGACGACCTCAGTGTGGGACAGTGGCGGGGTCGCCATGACGCCCTGAGACTTCTCTTCATCTTCCTCATCCTCCTCGTCGTCCTCAGAGTCGCTGTTGGCCAAGCTCTGGGTGCTGGAGTCAGAAAGTCCGCTGCAAATGCTGCTACTATCCTCCTCGTCCTCATCGTCGTCCTCAATCTCCTCCTCTTCCTCCTCCTCTTCATCTTCTTCCTCCTCCTCGTCATCTAGCTGCTCTTCCATCCCGTCCGCGGCTTGCAGGTGCATGCTGGGAGTCTGTGGAATGGTGTCCGACATAGAGTACTCCAACCTTGGCTGGGACTGAACCAGAGGGTTTCCAGCTCCCAGGTCGGTGGTTTCGCTACGGTAACCGTTGTTGGGGGACGCCTGTTGCTGCTCACGGCTCTTCTCCAGCTCCAGCTTCATTATGGTGTGCAGGAAGTGGGTCCGAACACGGATGGGATTAAACTCCACTCTCCCAGTTGCGTTGGTGCAGCCGTCTTTTGTGCAGCCACATGGAAATGACATACGGTCCACCTGTGATAAACACAACATTTACTGGGCTGATCATTTATTTTTCAGCAGACGACCCGTCTCATATGATAATATCGCGAATATACCACATAATGAATGCTTCTTAAAGGTTTCCTATTATACTATTTTTAAGTATATATTATAGGTCTCAGATATATAAAAATGTATACAAAACATGTCTATGAAGTGTTTTGCTCAAAATACCAAACAGGTCACCCATTCTAGCCATGCCTCATACCCCTATATTTCAGCCCTTTTAGAGAAGTGCTGATTCCGGGTCCGTAGCTTTAAAAAAAAGATGCCTGCTCAGAATTCTACCCAGATAGTCTAAATGTTGCTGTGATGAAACGCCATATCATGTTCAAAACCACATCAAGGATTAATTCTGAAACAGTATGGAGCTCAAAAGATTTTTCTCTTGCGGGTTTACCACAAGGAGTACCTTTTTATATCCTGCTTCTTTACACATACTCTCTCCAGTAGCCTACAGGTTAGCTCTGAGTGTTAGCATGCTTGCTAATGTAAACAAAGACCATATTACTTCCAAAACACGACACGCATTGTTTCTGATAGCGACGTTTCTGATAGGGCCTTAGATGTAAAGCCGGCCCACATTTCCGATATTACGTCATATCCGCAGCAAAATCTGGATCCGCTCCGTTGGACACCCGTTTTTAGAGATGTGGGTACGGAGGAAAAGAGAGAGGGTTTTGTTTCTTGACACCGGTGAGTCTCCTTACACACAACACCTATTTATGTATAAAAGACATTAAAAAGTGCATTTTGCATGAGACCTTTAATAAATAATCAGTCATTGATGGCTGCCCCTTCCCTTTGAATGTGCAGTATGTTTTTCTGTTGAATAGTGAAGACATGCGTGTCATGGGGTTTACCTGGCACTTGATCCCTGCGAGGCTGCAGGCGCAGGTTTCTGGGTCACAGAAGACTCTGCAATCACAGCCGCAGTCCTCTCTGGACATCCGGATGGCCCGCAGTTCATGTTTCTCTTCCACATCAATCTTCTTTACCCCAGAGGAGCGCAGCAGGGCCCGGCGCTTTTTAGTGGTAAGAGGCTGCAGGAAGAAGTACTCGTCCACTTCTGTGTTGTCCAGATCGATGTCGTCGTCAGAAATGTCGTCTGCTGTGAGTGTGTTGGCCTCTTCAGACTCCACCGTGCCATTCTTAGTCAGCTGAAAAAGAAGAATGAAGCACATTCAAGCCATTTTATAAAAGAACAAAAAGACAGTTCTGTTTTAAACAAAGACTAATTGTAGGCTCTTTGATGCCGATATCTGCTGAATGATACTGTTAACTGATAACTCAGTTTCAGATACTGATTACAAAGCATTTACCCTGAGTTTGATTGAATTGAGTTTTTCCTCCTTCAGGTGATCTCTAAGCATGTCTCTGTGGATCCTCTCCTGCTCCACGGCAAATTCTCCAAGGGAGTACTGCCTGATCCAGCTGTGCCTGTTGGACATGCCCAGTGTGCTGCCTCCCTGGCTGGGCACGCTGGTGAAGCCCTGCCGCCGGCTGAAGTAGTACACCGTCACATTCTCAAAATGCACCCTCCTCGTCCGCAGGCGCTTCTCTCTCTTCAATATCGAGTCAGCTGCCAAAGAAGAAGGGAATGTTAAAAAGAGATAGTACATTGTATGTTATATGAATAATATTCCATTCCTCACATACTTATGTATATATATATCCTTGTTGTTACTGAAGATTTTGTAAAATAATTATATTTTCTTATGCTATTTTATTTCTATTGAGATGTTTACATTTTGGAATGTTTATTTTGAGTCTTTTATTTGTTATTGTACAATGCCATGTCTTTTTATGCTGCTGCAATGCAAACATTTCCCAAATTTGAATCAATAAAGTACTTCTTATCTTATTCTTATGTGCTTGTCATCGTTGTATT